GGTCTTTGGTGAGACCTTCTTTTAATTAAGTATAATTTACTGCATTCTTTGATTGTTCATTCTGTTGTTTATTTTTCTAAAAAAAACTTGAACTGATTTTGCTTTGTACAGTGTAATAATGTGTGTATAGTATGAATTATTAACAGTGCAACTTTTTTTGTGATGGAATTGTGCGGAACGGACCCAGGAGAGAGCTTACATAAATAGACTATAATTATCTTGAGATAATAAATTCATATTGACATAATAATTTTCTCTTTGTTGTTTATTGAAATACTAAGGATTAATTTACCGAGGCAAAGACATTCAATAATAAGTGTATAGTGTGTCTGTAGAGCTTTTGTAGAGATGTGTCATCTGTTTTCCAGGTCACATTTATTTTGTGGGGTGTAGGTGGGGGCTCTAACTCTAATGTGGTTTTCTCCTCTCCAACTTCTATGAAACATTTATCGTCCTTATCTCTCCTCCTTATTTTCTTTCTATTTACTCTCTAGTAACATCTCTAATCTGGGGCACCTGTATGTCTTACTTGTGATGCAAAAATACCGTTCATTTAACTCTCACTAAAAATGAAGTTTTTTTAAAATATGTGTGAGAGGGAAAGGAGGGTCATTTTAGTTTTAATGGTCTTTTATTTGTATGGCAATAGAGATTGTAGAGAAAAACAGGAAACAGATATAGTCTTGGAATCCAGATTTCTAAAATTAAACAATAGGCCTAGGTACATTTTTTAGTTTCCATGAGTTCAGATTTTTTTGCCAGTTGGCTCCACTGCTTTGAAATGCTTACATGATTCAGTTGGACCAGGTTTGAGAGGGGTTAATTAATTATACTAACCGAATTTGTTTATTTACTGAACTCATTGACTAGAAGACACAAAACATTGTCTGCCGTTTAGAGCCATTTTAGTCCGAGCGCAAGATGAAAAGGCTTGTTTTGTGTCATAAAGTTTTTTTCTTTGGTGATTCTAACAGAGTTTTCATTGCTGATTTCAAATCTAATGGGGGCCAAATGCTAAACTTTGGGCATTTTTGTTTAAAAGTGAAAATCCAAGATGACTGCCATAGAATTTCGAGTAAAAGATGTTCTGAGGGATATCATGCATTTAAAGACATAAAAATAATGTACAAACTTAATTAAATAGCATTCAGTGTGATAAAAGTAACCCCTCTTGATGAAATACACATCAAATATTCGATAAAATGGCGACTTCAAAGAAAACAAGATGGCCGCCATATAGTTTTCATAAATGTGCTGATCCGCAATACACTTGAAATCGTCGCAATAAAATCACGACCTCGCATGGATAAGTTCTTCCTCGTGGCAGAGGGCGACAAACACACACACACACACACACACACACACACACACACACATATATATATATATATATATATATATATATATATATATATATATATATATATACATATAAATTTTTTAAAAATATACTACAATATTACTTTAAAGTATTTCATCAAAAACGTGTGGATGCAGGCGCTGCATGGATCGGAGATAGTAAAGACAGTAGCGAGCATAGTTAACGTTCCAGGCTCAAAGATGTAGGGGAACATCTTTTCTGCAGCAAACAAATGAGGAGTCCAGTCAGCTTCTCTCTCAGCCCGAACAAAGGCCATCACAATGAACACTGGGTCAAGGAGCACTCAACCCAAAGTCTTGTGGTTTTGCTCTGGGTGCTTTTGGTGACGAGTCATTGCGTGAGTGCAGCCATGGTGTGCACGTTAGTTTTGGGGAGAATGGGTCGCAGTAACTACTCAACAAGAAGTCCCAATGCTTTTTACATTTTGTGGGTATTTTTTCCGGGTCAACATTTTTGGCACCCCCACAAATGCAGAGCCAAGTATGTCTTCAATTCCACTTCTTCCCATCAGGTATCCCAGAGCACTAACAAAACGCCTCAGCATGTGCATACCGCCAAGTCTTGGGATTAACTTCTGAAACTGTTCCTTGTCAATCCATGTGATGCGGACAAGTTCTTTGTACAGCTGGTAGTCACTGGTGAATATTGTCCATCCATGACCAGTGAGCTGTGTCAGACCATTGGTTTCAAACATTGCTGTCTTCACGGTGTCTGGCTCTGATGGGATAATGTCCAAGAATGTGCTGTACATCACATCTGTCTTTGGTTTGGGGTTGTTGTTCTGCACTGCGGGTACGTTGTGTGTTATAACCTCCATACTCAGGTCTTGCATCTTCGCCGAGTGCCTGTTTAAAAAATGACAGATGTTGAGTTGCAGTTCTATTCAGAGAAGCCTGTCGTGTGGTAAGAAAGACCAGAGATGAGACATGTCACAGGCTCAGTTCTTCCGGCATAAGCGGTTTCGTGTTTCCTTTGTACCGTTAAACTGCAACGTTACCAAGTGTCAGATTATCGGACTTGGTTTCTGTTTTGCTGAGACGCCTGATGGCTGGAATATCTTGCATTTCCCACACTTGCTCTGACTTCTGCGTGTTGGCTTGTGCCGGTATCTTTGCTGAGCCGTGCGTTGATTTCTGGCCTTTTGGAGATGATATCTGCGTGTCAAAGTTGTCAGCTATAACTTGAACAAGTCCATGTTTACTGTCAAAGTAGGCCAGTCCTTGTGGAACAGATGCCATAGCAACAGTAGCTGAGCACCGAAAGAGCCTTAGTTTGTTGCATGAGGTGGTGACTCCATACGTGGGATGCTCGTCTATACATTTCCTCTGTCGACTCAACAGAACACGAAATCCAAGTTGCAAGTTTGTGAAATAGTTGTTGACTGTACTCGTAACAGTGTGGCCGATCATTTCTGCTGGCAGTGTAGAATCCAGTTTGGGGTCTTTGGCTGCAAGGACCGATAGCAAAGACTGCACTCATTCATGACAAATCCCCTAGGCAGACGAGTTGGGGACGTATGGCGATTGTGCTTTGGACATTCTGCTTTGATCACACTAACCAAGCATGATTGGCTCGTCCATTGCAGTCTCCTTCATCTAGACTGAAGCCGTGCTCCTGAAGACGAGGACGGAAGCCACACCTGGTGAAACAGGATCAGCAATTCTGGATGTAGCTTTTCAGATACATGGTTCAGTAGTGTACGTCGCGATTTGTCTTCCCCCCCCTGAGTTCAATATAGCGTTCATGGACTTCCACACTATTCCACATTCGTGATTTGTTTCATCGAATGTCGTCAACCAGCATACCGAAGATATAGTCATCATGCTTTGTAGGTGAGCTAGTTGATTGCGTTGGATAGTTTGTGTAGAACCAGGAGTGGCAGTCTCTCTGATACCTAGCGTCTGCCAAATCACTGACTGTTGATGACACACGGAAGCTGACATCTATTCCCCATTTGTCCCCACGTTCCTTGGCACATTTTTTTGTAGTTCTTCTTTGGTGATCTTCCTCCCTTTCTCCTCTCCAGTTCGGCATAATAAGTAGGCTTTTTTCCAGAGATCTGGGCGTTTTTGGGAGAATCAGTGAGCATGCTTCTCCAAAAAAAAAAACAATGTTCGTGAAAATTAAACGGACTAGTACTACCCCTATGACGTTTGGGTTCTTCTTCAGAAAGTTCCTCAGTCTTTTGCTTTAGTAAAAATCGCTTAATATGGTCTCCGGAACAATGTGGGGACTCACACAGTTCTTGTGTCACAGTATAAACTCAGCATCATGTGGAAGTCTCTGACTGAGTCCTTCATCTCGTTGCCGGCTTGCTTCCAGTATACCACTAATCCGTCTCGATTTGATCAGCGGTGGGTTCTTTATCGCATCAGTATGAGTTTAAAAGTAACTGAGAGAGACACTGTGTGTATGCATGTGCCTGTTGCATGAACCAGCCTGATCGCATCACGTCCTCGTGGTGACGTAGCGGTTTCCTACATTCTTTGTTTCTACGGAGGTGTGGTGTGACGAAGCACTGTCTGCCAACGTCTCCATGCTTTGCTAGCTGAGTCCATATTACAGCAGGCCGTGTGATGCACCTTTCGGTACAGCCTGGGACATCATGGCGAGAGGGGCTATAAGTGTTACGCCTAGTACCCTCGCGCGAATCTTGGTCGACTCGTACATGATATAGAGGTGGGTAAAATCCGGATAAACTATCCGGATAACCGGATAATTCCCAATGAAATATTATCTGAATTCAGACTCTAAACTCTTTCCTGACCTGTTTGCCGAAGTGAGTGTACCCATTTGTTGATGAAGTAATGCTAACCCGTTTATCTAAGAAAGTTTGCCGAAGCGGTTCATAACATATTATTTGCCGAAGAAGTGTACTAACATATTATCCGTATTTTGGTAAAACGACTCATTGCCCAGCCCTAGTCGCTCCTTCATCATTCTTACATGATACGGGTTGGTGTATTTCAACCAGCAGAAAAAATTATGCCCATAAGATGCAAGTTGGCCCCCGACTGATATGAAGTCTAGAGACCCTGAGGAAGCGGAATCACCAAAGAAAAAACTTTATGATGAAAAACAAGGTTCTAGTACTTTATATAGACCCGGCTCTCGGACTATTATATCATTTACAGCATGCTCGTGTACCAAAGATGATGAACTATCCTTACACTGGCTGATGCATGTAACCAGTTATGTTCATCCAAGTCCGAATTTCTCGATGTTCTCAACCCAATTGCCTGTTTTGGGTCTTAATTTTTTTCCATCTCTTTGATTAATTAAGCATGATGGATTGTATTTTATTGAGAGTACCGGCATCTGTGGTGTTGCAGTTAGACGCTTCGCTGTCGCAAGCAGGATACCCGAGTTCGATTCCCAAAAGGGGAGAAATTTGTATCGAGTATCTCGGTCTTTCTGCTGGGATGTTGTGTACCTTTCAGTCTTAGCTGGCCTCGATAGGTGGAATAAGATAACGCTTTGGGATCATAAATGTCCTTTTCCGTGTTGCAGATTTTTTGTTGTTGGGGTTTTGTCATCAAATCGTATGAGGAAAAGAGTAATTATTTAACAATCGTCTACGATAAATAAATACACAAAGGTAAAAAAAAAGTCATAAGAATTGTTGTTAAGATTCTTTTTTTTCTTCAAAAAAACAGTTCTATCAAACAGTTCTATCACTACATATCATAAAAGCCATACATGTGTTTAATTTATAACTCGTATCTTTTTGGTTGTCTCCATTACCATTTTAAATGAGCAATACATGTAATTAACATGTACAAATGTTTGGGCATTTCGTATAACTGGTTTGGAGAAATGCACAGCTTTACTTCCTGATTACATTGGTATATATATATTGTTTTTCTGTGATAATCGTTGTGGAAATTAATATTCTTTTCAGGATTTTTTTTCTCTTCTTAACTTGAAAATACGCAAACTTGAGTTGTTGACTTAAGTGATATTTCGGTCAACTATGACATGACAACAACGTGAGATGCCCTTTGTTTTCTTGAATACATCCCACAAAAAAAAAAAAAACACCAAAAACCTTTTTTGTCCTTATTCTCAACTATATCTATTGATAATTGAAAATAATTGTTTCATCTAAAAACTGGCTTTCTATTCCCATGCCAAACCCTACATCTCACTGAAATTGTTGAATCCAGACATTTTTGTTCTTTAAAAAAAAATCATACTCATACAATTGACAATGTAAGAACAATAATACACATGTAAATATACATTGTTATCTCAGAATTACAGTTTTATCTGCTCAGTACTTAGTTTTGAGAAATTTGACGTAGAAAATTTTGAGTTTCACTATATTTCAATCCCTTTCTAATGCAATTCTTTGAATATCTTGATAGCGACTCAGAATAAACTTACGATTTTGATAGAGCAGATACAGCATTTGATATCTGACCTCATGGTCTCAGTACCTCAAAACAGCCCAAAACGTCAGACTTGTAATTCTGAGATAGCGACATGTAAATTTATGTAAATTTCAGCTTGAGGAAACAGTGCATCAATATCAAAATTATGTAAATGGATAATAATAGTATTAGTAAGTCTCCTAATAACAATGTACAGTTAGTAGCCAGGGGACACAACTCGCGAGTGTAAGAAAATCTGATATTTTGCTTTCTCAAAGATCTCTGCCAAACTCACAAATTTTGGTCGTTTAAAAATCTCTGTCAAACTCGCAAAGCAAAGCTTACGTTACACTGTGCAAGAATAAAATCTTCCCACAACACAATGTCTAAGACTAATGTGTCAAAAGTGAAGAAAGAAACTACATAAATCAACAATCTATGACAAAAATAATCTTCAAATATGGCCATGCGTGGAATTGATTAAAACACAACCTAAGTCACATATATGGCACAAATTCAAAATTCATGTACAGAACGCACTATTTCACTACTCTCAGCCTTGGCTTTATTCTAATTATTACCATGCTTTCCATTTATTTTATTTTTTTCGTTAAACTGTTCTGTTCATGTATTCAAATGAGGCCCAATACATCAAAATCATAAATATTATTATAATCTTTTCAAATATTATTGTCCGTGTGTATGCTGTTTACAATTAGTAGGCCTATAGAATTAACTTGCTCGCAGCGTTGCTACATACCTAACCTCAGAACTGAAGTCTAGAAGGCAATTCTTCTGATTTCGTCCATTGTGACTGCAATACCAAAGGCTGGGTTTATGTAAAATGAGACAGCAGATCTAACAGTGGCGGCCAGAATGCTGCGCCAGCTTGTCTTGCTCGCTCTCTGCTCTTCTTGGAATTGTTTCAAACTCTTATCATAAGCGTGCCTAGCTTGCTGCAGTGCTGCATCGAGCTGACTCTTGTTCACCGCATCCCTCATGGCTTTTTCATGACTCTCTATATTACGCTCAAGATTAGACACGGTCTCTTGAAGCTGCTGCAAGACACCTGTGCCTCTGTCTTGTTTACGAATCTCGAAGGCAAGCTCTCGGGTGTCTTTCTTCAGCCAATCCAGACGCTTTTGCGTCGTTTCTTGGTCAAGCTGTTTGTCGTTTATGAGACGCTGCAAACCATCAACCAGAAGATCAATTTTGGATTGGATTTCCTCTCTTAGTTTTGGGGCATTCTCCCTGACGATAAGTTTCTCTCTTTCTTCTGCGACGCGATTAAAGGCCTCGTTTGTGTAACGCGCCCCTCTGCTCTTGAGACAATCAACAATTTGAAACAGTTCCTCTCGCTGTGGTTTTAGTTCTTCCTCTTCACCGAGATTGTTGAACAGAACAGCCTTGTAGTCACATTCTTGGAGGAGCTGCTGCATCTCTCCTCTTTGATTGCGACACCATGTACTAAAAGAGATCTTAGGGCATCGCCTTTTATTTTGCAGGTCAAAGCTTTCGCCATAGGTAAAAACCAAGACGCCAAAGTCTTTAACAAAGGATTCCCCAAACAGAGATTTTAGGCATGCTATTGTTTCTAGCTCCTCCCTCGTGTATCTTTGACCATACTTCAAAACAATAACCATGGCGTGAAAACCTTTCGGACAGTTCACCATAACGTTCCCCATGATTGAGGCCAATCTCTGGATAGCATCTCCTCTGTCCATCCGGGTTTCGCAAATACCTGGCGTATCCACAACCTTGACCTTCCTGTGCTCATGACGTGCCCTGCTTACCTGGGCCTCAAAAGTGTCCGACTCGCCGTCATCTGAAGTGTGAAACGCCTCTCGACCTAGAATTGCGTTGCCCGTGGAGCTCTTGCCATTACCGGTTTTCCCGATAATCAGCAAATCGGTTTCGAAATCGTGACCCGGGGGTGACGTCATAGTGGCTGCCGACAGTGAAAGAAATAAGAAAAATTATCAGCCAAACCCCGCTTGATCTATACCATTAGGCAGGGTGATTAAAAAAAGAACGAGCCGATTTCATTACGCATTGCTTCAGTTCTCAAGCATAGTAGGCCTATGGAATGAGTCATCTAAATTTCGAATAAAAAAAAGAATGAACCGATTTTATGACTCATTGCTCCAGTTCTCAAACACTGTTTGTGGAACTACTCAGTAACCGTTTGAAAGAGGAGATAATATATCTAACTTTTGAATAGCTGTGCCCCAGCGATGAACCCGTCGGAAAGGTGCGATCAAGACCTTGCTCTCTCTGTGCTTGCTCTGTCAGATTACAAGAGTTCAGTGTGTGTGATTTTTTTCTTGTGGGGATGTAGAAGATCGCGTTTATATTTCACCTCTACCCTCTAACCTAACCTCGATGGCCTTAACCCTATCCGTTACTGTCGTATCCATGCGACGTGGGGAACTCTGTGCCACCACTTTCCAAAGAGGAAATTATTCATTAATCCTATCTGTAGGCCTACGCTTTGCATAGCAGTCTGTAAATTATTTTTTGAGAATACCGTACTGAAAGTTTCAAAGAGATTTTCGCACTAGAAGTATTCTAAAATGTGAAGAATACAACCCTGGGGGTTAAAAATGACCCCCAGGGCGTATGGATATAGGGTTAAACATAGAATAACAACAGCGATCAACTCAGTGGACCATGAAACGCGTCTTGGGTGAATTCTCTTGTCGCCTTGATGTTGCTCGTGCTGCTACTGGTGGCCACATTATTGAGCACTTGAAAGACAGGAAATAAGAGTTGATTGAAAGTACAATACTTGTGCCTTAGCTTGAGTTTTCTATTGCTTTTCCTTTTAAAAATATTGCGTAATAAAACCAGTTCATTCTTTTTTATCACCCTACACTACAAACCCCCTTCCCTGTTATACCGCCAGTCAAGCCAGGTTTTGTCAGTGCTCGGAAGGTTTTTGTAATGTAAAATTTAGGTTCATACCAAGGAGGTTGTTGTGAGGTCCTTGGTTCATACTAAACTGAGGTAAATCTTCCCTGCTCTATCACTACTATCAGACATGGTACTGGAGACCAACTGGAAAAAAAAGAGGTAGACTACTGGAAGTTACAGAGACACAATTACGGATAAGGCAATCACCCAGGGCCTAGATGTGCCAAGATTAGAAATGGTGATCAGGGACAGGCAAATGTGATGAAGATGACTGCTCTCTGATGTGACACTGACAGAGTATAGGAAGAGAGTAAGTAAGTATATAAGCATGGTCAAACTATGATCCGCGGGCCCAGCAATTAAGTCAAGCCCCAATGTTGATCCAGTACCGTAGTTAATTAATAATGTACATGAGCTGCAGTGATCTTGGGGTATTAATTAATAAAAAATAAAAAAACAACTGTCCCTCTAGAAAATTTTAATTAAAATTAAGATCAAGATTCTGGCTCAGTTGGAAGTAATAGACTTAATAATTTCCATCTCATGAAATACCTTTGAGTGACGGTATTCCAACCAATTTCACCCATTTTTTTTTCTATTTTGGCCTGCAATGTATTTGGAATAGCGGTTGATCCGGCCCTCGTATGAGACTTGGACATGCTAGCCCATGCCTGATAGATACCGATACCCTTGTAATATTATATCCTGTTATATTGTATATATTATACACACATATACACATATATACTGAATGCCATTAAAAACGCAACGTTTTTAAAGGGCTATAAGAAAGTTAAATATATGCTTTGATCGCCACGATTTTGGAAGACAAAGGTAAGTAGTTGTTAATTCACAGGTACATGCACTATTTTTGTTATTTCCACAAGTGCTTTTCAACACAGCACAGTGAAATATATGCTTTGGTAAAATGTGTTAATGAAACGCAATATTACTCATGAAAAGAATTTATTTCACTTAAAGGATGATAAGTGACTCTTTCCAAATAAAAATCCTGAAATTTTTGCAATCAGTGTTGATTTTTGTTTCATTACAAGATGCCTCAACTTAGCTAAGCTGACCGCAAGTTTTGCCTCCGCCTAGTTCATGTCAAATCTGCCCGAAAAGCAGCTTAAGACGGTTAAAATGCAGTGCGCGTATTGTTTCTCGACTTATCCAAAGATTTTAGCACACTTGCAATTGCAATGTCCAGGATAGAAAAAGAATGGGACATCCTCGAGTCACCAGGTCTGCTCAAGACAAGACAGACATTTTGTGTAACATCTGCGGAATCATTTCCTTCTCACAAAAGTACCTTAACAGCTCAAGGCATGCAAGGAGTGCGTGAAAATGTTTCTTCCATCAATGTGAGGCGCTGAATAGTTAGTCCAGGACTTAATCTAAATAAGATTTTTGTAATGCCTTATTTACAAGTAGAACTGCTATTAACGAATCTGCGACAACAGCGCCATTTTAAATGTTCGCAACAGCATGGGGG